GCCCACGAGGACCGCGGCGCTCGGGACCAGGATCCCAGGCGGCGGCGACCTGCAGGCAGCTCGGGGGACCCCGAGGGCTGCGGTGCGACTGTTAGAGCAGATGCAGACCGCACTCCCGGCCACTCCGGACACTCTTGGGGGCCTCTTTCCACGTCGACTTCGTGAGAGGAGCTTGTGTCAGATCTTGCCTCTTTCGGTCTGTCCTGTTAGCAATCACCAGGTCAAAAATTTCACGAAGGGATCTTCTGAGAATTGCCAACTGTGCACTTAGCCCGAAACCAGCAGGGCTCAAATTGCAGAGATGTTTATTGAACCGAACCTCTTTACAGCTTTCTTCTCTAATATGAAGTTCTCCTGTAGATCAGATGAGCGATACAAAGTTTTGGAAAGGCTGAAAATTGAAATCTGTTTTACCAGACGGGGTGGTGGGGGCAGAGCCCCGTGTGTTACTTGAACACACTACCCTGGAGGCAAGGAAAACTACTTTAATCGGTGAGAAGTGACAGTATGTAAAGAACCATGTGACCAGCCCATTTCCAACGCTAAATCAACACCTTGTCAACCCAGAGCAATGATAGGAGAGAAAAACAAATGTCATTTTTTCAGCCTAACTTCCATGCAGACCCCCACACAGTGACATGATATTCCCAACAGACACCACATATTAAAGAAAAGTTACTGTGGGGGACTGTCAGCTGCAAGACACCAGCTGAAGATCAGTGAAGTCAATTACTTCAAGTAGTCTTGAGAAAGAATTTATACCTGCCCCCCATTTCATTCATTTCAGAACCTGAAATAAGACTAAACTTCTAGACCAGACTGAAGTACACTCTCAATGCTGCCTTGAAGGGAAATCTAGGAACTTGTGAAACTCGCAAGAAGTTTTAATTCTTGGGGAATGATAATGTACAAGAAGGAAATCATCAACTCACCTCAACGGCTGAAATAAGAGTTGAGTATTCAAAGATGGTAAAGAAGAAAACAAAGCCTCCCTTAGGAAAGTGACCACTTTGGCAACCGGCAACCTCAACCAGAAAACTTCATGAGTTACTCCTCAGTCACCTTTGAATTACCCGTTTAGAAGAACACTGTGGTCAACATATTGTTAACATAAATCTAAGTGGGCTGGCGGGGCAGTGGTAGGTGGAGTTGTGTCCCTGAAGAGTAGCAGTATTTAAATCCAATTGTACTTGTTGATTAAAGACCATCTTTCTTGGTGTCTAAAGAATACTCTCCTTGTGAAACCACAAGGTCTTCCTAGAAAGATAGTTAGCAAAGCGATACTTCTGTTTGCCTGTGAAAGCTCTGTACTGAAACACCACCTATCATAAAGTTCATGAAGGGGCTCCAATAAAAATAGCTGCCTTTATTTCTCTTCTACCTTATCAATACACACATACACAAATATTAGCATAGAGAACAATCAGACTTCAATGGAGGGTTATCTACTGGTTGGCTTTGAACATTTAAGTCACATGTACTCAGCCAAAGCCCTTTCAAATTTATTTCAGTTCTTAATTCACACAATTCCTCTTACCTTGTTGAGAATAACTTGGCCACAATCCTATTACCATTTCTAATGCTGATAAATATCACTTTGTTACTTATATAAAAATCAATTCCTTATCATTTTATCCCACTTGAAAGTACTGGCAACCTAATGAAGACTTCCAAAACATCTGACATGCTTGATAAGGTCTGAGAAACAATCTCTTGCACCCTAAAACTGAAAACCTTCTAGGTTCCAATACAGAAACTGTTATCCAAGAAAAATAAAAAATGCACCCATCATACAATGGTAAAAATACTCCACAGTTAAAACTTGTCATTTTAACATACTCAGTTGGAGCTGTCAGTTTTTAGTTAGAGGCCTAACCAGTACTGTCAAAATGAAGGAAAACAGAAGCAAGTTCTTATGTTAACTATCAGTTTGACTGCTGTAATCTAAGAAATGCAAATGAACACTATAACCCCAGTTGGGGCTTACAGCCCAATATAAGTACAGGTAAAGTTGGGGTTAACTTGACTCCTGGAAAGAATTTTGCCTCTCTGGATATTTAACATACACCCAAGAACCTAATGGAAGTATGTCAAATGCATTTAAATGCTTAATTTTCTTACAAAAGCTGATACATCTAGTATGTGTATGCCTGTGTGTGCACATGCACAGTGACTTTTACATGGCTTTGAAAATGCTGCTATACTGGGGTATAAACTGCACAGGTCAGTTATTTCAAACTCTCTGATGGCACTCTGGGGCAGATGTGTGGAAGTGAACTCAAGTATAAAAAAAGTATAATTTTACTCATAAAGTCAACCTCTGAGAGACTTCTAATTAGCCTCCTTAAAACTTACATGTTAACATGCATTCTCAAAATGTGGTCTATACTGTCCACAGTTTGCACCCTTAAGTATCAAGTCCTCAGTGTAGGTTACAGTGTTTCCAGAACTTGGAGGTTAAGATTCCTACAAAATATAGGTTGAACCACTGCTTCAAAGCCACCAACCTACACTTGCATTTGGATAAATATGCTCGGAATTTTGCCTACTTTGAGAGGCTAATATGTGCTTCTCTTTCAAATCTTGAACCGTGACCACTAAGCCCACTAAATCCTTTTATTGCAATTGGGAATAATCAAAGTCTCTCTACTTGTTTACCTCCAATTATTAACTGTAAATCTCTAAGAAAAAGATCATGCCCTAGCGCTGTCAAGCTCAAAAGACTGCGTAAACATATGCAATCAACTTTTCAATGCTCTTTCCCCAAAGCATCCCTGGACCACATGACCTACGCTGACACTTGGCAAAAGCTTCATAAAACATAGCGGACCTGACCTGGGTATGTTTCTAGGGACATCTCATAGCAGAAGTTAAGAGTAAAGTTGTAGGCTCAGAGAAGGATTAAAAAAAAAAAAAAAAAGAAAGAAAAGAAAAGAAAAAGGAAACAAGTGATGAGAGAAAGGAAACCCCAGCAAGACTAACGTCCAGTCACCATCTTCGCTCCAAAGAAAGCTCCAAATTTGAAATGCCCACTTTTCAGGGAGCACGCCCCAAGTGACGTCCAGAGTACTTCTCCAACACTCCCAACACAGACCACCTTGAAAAGTTTACCATTTTAAACACAAAAGCAGGAGACCTTGGAAACAACTGGGAACCGCCATCTTACAAGCCACCCAATTTCACACAAGTGTCCTTCCAACTTAAGTTAATAACATTTTTGTTGGGGCTCTCTCCAGCCTAACATCCACCTCGCCGGGATCGCTGCCCCCCACATTACCCGTCCCTATAAAATGGGGGCGTTCTCTGGATGTTTAAACCCCTCAAAAGCCCTTTCTTCGAGAGAGGAGGGGAGCCACTTGACCCAGGCAGCTCCCGATTTCAGGAACCCGTCCCCGTTTCATCAAAATCTACCTCTCAACAAAGGGCGCAGCGGCCGGGCGAGCCTCGGAGGCTGCAAATACAAGTGTTCTTCTCGGGGGCCATGTGCGTCGCGAGGGTGCAGAGGGGCGCTCGGGGGAGAAAGGAACTAAACCGTGGGGCCGCGCGCGGCGCGTCCGGGCTGAGCGGGCGGCGGCGGCTGGAGC